TCAACAAATATAAGAGGGTTAAAATCATACCAACCATATTCTCTGATCATAATGCTTTGAAACTAGAGATCAACTGCAAAAAGAAAGCAAGAAGAACCACAAATACATGAAGATTAAACAACATGCTACTGAAGAATAATTAGGTCAGGAAAGAAATAAAAAGAGAGATCAAGAGATACATAGAAATGAATGATAATGATAGTACGACATATCAAAACTTTTGAGACATGGCAAGAGCGGTCATAAGAGGAGAATGTTCATATCATTACAGGCTTATCTCCAAAAACAAGAATGAGACCAAATAAACAACCTAATGCTTCATCTTAAAAAACTAGGAAAAGAACAAATGAAGCCTAAAGTCAGCAGAAGATATCATCAAAATTAGAGCAGAATTAAATGAAATTGAAAACAAACAGACAGAAAAAAAAAACAGAAAAAATAAATGCAACAAAGAGCTGGTCCTTGAGAAGGTTAATAAAATTGACAAACTCCTGGGTAGACACACACAAAAGAAAAAAGAAAAAGGATACAAACAAAATCAGGGATGAAAGAGAAGAAATTGCAGGAGACACAAAAGAAATATAAGAATCATACAAGAAAACTATGAAAAGGTGTATAATAACAAATTTAACAACCTAGAAGAAATGGACAAGTTCTTAGAAAGATACAACCTTCCTAGACTGAATCAAGAAGAACTGGAAAATCTAAATAGACTGATTAGCAGTATGGAAATTGAAACAATCATAAAAAACCTACCAAAAAGGAAAAGTCCAGGACCATATGGCTTCACCAGTGAATTCTGCCAAACATTCAAAGAAGATTTAATACCTATTCTCCACAAACTCTTCCAAAAAATCAAAAATGAGAAAATACTTCCTAACTCATTTTATGAGGCCAATATTACCCTGATACCGAAGCCTGGTAAAGATAACACATAAAAAGAAAACTACAGACCGACGTCTCTCATGAACACAGATGCAAAAATCCTAAATAAGACCTTGACTAGCAAACCGAATACAGCAACATATTAAAAAGATTATACACCATGATCAATTGGGATTCATCCCAGGGGCACAGGGATGGTTCAACTTACACAAATCAATTAATGTGATACATCATATAAACAAATTATAAAGTAAGAATACGATCATATCAACAGATTCAGAAAAAGCCTTCAACAAGATATAGCATCCAATTATGATCGAAACACTTAACAAAATCGGTGAAGGAAAGTAACTTAACATAATAAAGGCCATATATGACAAACCCTCAGCCAACATTATACTTAATGGTGAAAAACTAAAAACCTTCCCTTTAAGATTGGGAACAAGGCAAGGCTGTCCACTATCGCCACTGTTATTCAATGTAACATTGGAGGTCCTAGCAAGTGCGATCAGGCAAGAGAAAGATAAAAAAGGCATCCAAATAGGAAATGAAGTCAAACTGTCACTATTTGGATGACATGATTCTCTAGATAGAAAACCAAAAGACTCCACAAGAACACTTCTAATAACAATGAGCAAATACGGTAAAGTTTCTGGATACAAAATTAATGTTAAAAATCCCTAGTGTTCCTATACTCTAAAAATAAAGTGTCAGAAAAATAAGCGGAAAAAATAATTCCTTTTCCAATTGCAACAAAAGAATAAAATACCTAGGAATTACTCTAATGAAACATGTGAAGGACCTATATAATGAAAACTATAGGAACCTATTAAAAGAAATCTAAGAAGATACACAGAAATGGAAAGATATTCCGTGTTATTGGATTAGAAGAATAGACATAGTTAAAATGACCTTATTATCTAAAGCATCATACAGATTTAGTGTAATCTTCATCAAAATCCTATTGGCATTTTTAAAAGAAATAGAGCAAAAATCATCAGATTTGAAGGGAAGCACAAAAAACCTCTAATTGCCAAAGCCATCCTGAGAAAAAAGAATGAGGCTGGAGGCATCACTCTGCCCAACTTAAATTATACTACAAAGCAACAATAATCAAAATGGCATAGTATTGGCAGAAAAAAGGACACACAGACCAGTGGAACAGAATCGAGAATCCAGTAATAAACCCATGTTTATATGGGCAAATAATTTTCAACAAAATAGTCAAAAACATACAATAGAAAAAGGAAAGCCTCTTCAGTAAATGGTACTAGGAAAACTGGAATGCCACTTGCAAAAGGATGAAAAGAGACTGTTGTCTATCACCACCACAAACCCAAATTAACTCAAAATGGATTAAAGACCCAAATATAAGACCCAAACCAATAAACTGCATAGAAGAAAACACAGGAACTAAACTCATGGACCTTAGACTTAAAGAGGATTTTATGAATTTGACCTCAAAGGCAAGGGAAATCAAAGCAAAACTAAATGAATGGGACTACATGAAACTAAAAAGCTTCTTCACAGCAAAAGAAACAACAACAAGGTAAAGAGACAACCATCCAAATGGGAAAGTACATTTGCAAGCAACGCCTCTGATAAAGGCCTAATATCCAAAATATACAAAGAACTCATACAACTCAACAACAATAAAAAAACAAACAATCCAATTAAAAAATGGGCAGAGGACCTGAACAAACTCTTCTCCCAGAAGACATACAAATGGCCGACAAACACATGAAAGGATGCTCAACATTGCTAGTTATTAGGGAAATGCAAATCAAAAGCACAATGAGATACCATCTCACACCTGTTAGAATGGCTATAATCAACAGGACAAGTTATAAGAAATGCTGGAGAGGATGCGGAGAAAAAGGAACCCTCACACACTATTGGTGGGACTGCAAATTGGTAAAGCAACTATGGAAAATAGTATGGAGGTTCCTCAAAAAACTAAGAATTGATCTACCATATGATCCAGTAACCCCTCTACTGGGTATTTATCCCCAAAACTTGCAAACCCATAGTGAAAAGATATTTGCACAATGATGTTTATAGTAGCATTATTTATGGTGGCCAGGACATGGAAGCAACCAAAATTTTCTACAACAGATGACTGGATAAAGAAGCTGTGGTACATACATACAATGGAATATGACTCAACCATAAGAAGAGACAAAATACTGCCATTTGCAACAACGTGGATAGACCCTGAGATAATCATGCTAAGCAAAATATGCCAGACAGAAAAAGTTGAAAAACACATAATATCACTTATATGTAGGATATAAACCTAAAAGCAACAAATGAACAGGACAAGGAAGCAGAGATTCATGGACATGGACAAGAGACTTGTGGTTACAAGAGGGGAGGGGGAAGAGGAGAGGGGGAGGGGTCAAATGTGTGGTGACAGAAAGAAATCTAACTGTGTAGTGAACACACAATGGAATGTATATCTATGCCTTACTGTTGAATTGTACACCTGAAACTTACTGAATTTCATTAACCAATGTCAGCATAATAAAAATTAATTAAAATTTAAAAATAAAACCCAAAAGCCATATTTAATGGCCAATAACCATATGAAAAACTTAATATTATTCCTTATCAGAGAAATTCTTTATAAGAATGGTTGAAATGAAAAAGACTGACAATGTCAAGTATTGGTGAGGATGGGGCACAAACTGGAACTCTCATGTTGCTGATGGGAGTGTAAATTAGTTCGGACACTTTGCAAAATTGTTTGGCACAACAACTAAAGCTACATATATACCTTTTGTATCTCTACAAGACCATTCCTAGGTATATGTCTCAAAGAAGAGAGTGCATATGTCCACCAAAGTCATATATAAGAGTATTGAGAGCAGTTTTATTGATGAAAGCTAAAAACTAGAAACAATCCAAATGTCTGTCAAAAGAAAAACAAATTGAAGTACAGTCTTATAATGAAATAGTACATAGCAGTAAAAAAAGACAGACATGCAACAAGATGATTAATTACAAAAGTATTATCCTGAGCAAAGGAAACCAGACCCCTCCCTCAAAAAAAGAGAGATATTCTAATGAGTTCATTTATACAAAGTTCGAGGAGGCAAAACTAATTTATTGTGACAAATATAAGAATAGTAGTTATTTCTGGGACTGGAGAAAGGTGGGTATTGACTAGAAAAGGTTATAAGGAAAACTGAAAAGAAAGACGGGTCTCTTTTAATTTGGGTTATATGGGCATAAATATATATAAACATAAAAATTCATCAAGCTGTACATTAAAGACTTGTGAATTTTATTATATATTATATTTCAATAAAAAAGGGATAAGCTATTAATCAAGTGAAAAGCAAAATAACAGAGTGGTGATATACATGTACATATATATGTGTATATACATATGTAGATACATGACAAAGGACTCATATCCAGAGTAAATTTAGATATAAAAAAATCAATAAGCAAAAAAACAGACAACCCAAAGAAAAATGAGTAAGATTTGAAAAGGCATTTTACAAAAAGTATAAAATACCCAATAAATATATAAAGGGTGCTCAACTTCGTTAGTCAGAGAAATGCAAATTAAAAACACAATGATGGCTCTACACGTCAACCAGAATGACAAAAATAAAAATGAAGGACCATACCAAATACTGGTAAGAATGCATGAAAACTGCAACTCTCATTAACTACAGGACAGATGTAAATTGGTTCAATTACTTCAGAATCACTTTGGAAAACTGACAATATCCAGTAAAGCTGAATATAGGCATACTTCTTATCAATGCCCAGAGAAAATATCCATAATAAGTAAATATGAACAGAGTATTTTAAAAAGTAACTGTAAGACTAAGATTAGGCTATCTTTTATTATCCTTCTTAGCTCTAGAACCACAAAATTTTTAAATATCATGAATTATTTTAAGTGCAGAATAATCCCATTAGATGTGTTGCTGGCCTAAAAACCAATTCATCACTTTTAATATCTCAATAAATAACTGAGGCCAGAAACTTGGGATGAATGACATTTTATAAATATATTTTTCACAATTACTAGCAGTCCTCAATCTGACTCCTGCACAGATAAACTAGAGAAAGGCCTGGCCAAATGCCAATAGCTTCACCTTTTTGCTGAGATTCATGTTCTCCATCTTAGCCTTCAGCAGCTTCATCTTATTCATAGTTATTGAATTTTCAATTATCTGTTGCCCAGAAGGAGAAGGCTCAATTTCTTCATCCTCATCAGTATACAAATTATATACAGAACCACCACTGCAAAGAAAATAATTACTATTGAAATGTACCTGATACCTGCCCAATGACTAAAAATATTCTATGTGCAATAGAAACTATAGATGCTGCTAATGATAAAACAACAAACCCATCTTGTCAATGAAATTTAAGGCAAATGTATTTCAAAAATATATTTCTTAGGAGAAAAAAATAAATAGTGATAAATATCATCATCTAGCATTACTGAAAATTCTAATACAGCTATGCTTTTCTCAAGTCAGTATACCATAAGTGAAGATCTTTTGGCATCTGCTCTATCATTCCCATAGAAGCAAAATCCATTTCCATAAGAATGATCTGATTTCATTTTATTAGCCAAAACTAATAATTGTGCAACCTAGACCACAGGCTGATCAAATTTCAACTAACCAGAATAAAAAAGAAATTAACACATAAGAGAAGTCTAGATATTTATTAATGCTGAGAGAATTCTCACTAAAAAAAGGAACACATACACAGATGTCATTAGAACATTTTCTGCTCTAAAGACAACAAAAAATATAGATAACTTAAGATTTTTCTCAGTGTATTTAGAAATATAACCACCTAGAATAGCATAGAGTTTTAAATGAAAAAAAGACATCCCAGGCAAGTCATAACACATATTATTAAACACGTAAAACATTTCAATTACTGATTAATCATCATGATATTTATTCATTAACATAATTATTAGCTGGAGCCCCTTCTCTTCGCATAATATAATGGTATTTAGCACACTATCTTTATATTTATACTTACATACTTATCTTTCCCTCTTACTCCACCATTTACAAGTTGAAAGCAGTTATTAGGCTTTTGCATCTTCCCAGTCTTAGCACCTGGCAGAGTGTTTGGCCCATATTCAACAAATATTAAACACAAACATTACTGAAATTTCATTCAGCTTTTTCAATAATGAAAAAAATTAAAATGGTAAAGTTTGAAAAAAACAAGCTCAGCATATTTGAATGACTAAAATTTTAAATAGAGCAGAAAAAGAATGTTGGTCACTGTGCCCGATTTACTTATAAAAAAACTAATGTACCTATGCTAAAGAATATGAGGGTTAATAAGATTTCCAATTTTACATGGTTCTTAAGAAATGGAAATGTAGGACAGCCTTAATAAGGCATATTCCATAACATTTCTGAAGTACATACTACCACCCCACAAAGGCAAAGTAGAAAGTAGATGACCCCATTCCTAAACTTTATATGGTGAAACTGAGGATGACATTTTAAAATTGTGGGTTAATTACATGGACAGCAGGCATACTTGTCAGAAGGAAGAATGGCTAGAACTGATCTCCATAACCAGTTCAGTCCCTAGTGTTTGCCTTGTGACCATCACTTTACTTCTACCTATTGTAGATTCCTACTACAGTATGAAAGTTGACACAAGGGGGCACAATACTAAATTAACATTGCTACTATTTACTAAATGCCTACTCTGCCAGGTATTTTCCACATATTATTTCTAATCCTCACGAAAACTATACAAGCTGATATTTATCCCATTTTATAAATAAAGAAACTGCAGTTTAGAGATTAAGTGATTCTGTTCCAGACCAGAGAGCTAATAAATGGTAGACTTAAGATTCAAATCCCCCAACTGTCTGGTTCCAAAGTCTATTCTTTATTCTACTTCCTGTTGCTTTCCCAGGCACCAAACAACAGACTTTACTGAACCATGCTTGTGTTCCTAAAAAAGAGACAGAACTTACAGTATGTGAAGACTCTCAAGTTTAACTATACCTGAAAAGGAGGGTTGAGAAGATTTTTGCTAGTTCGCCCATGGAGTTGGAAGGAATGACTTAAGCACACTCTACTATTGGTTACCTTGCAGTATTTTAACTTTAATTCTCTACTATACTTGTGGTAATTTAACTTTAGGTACCCATACTGAATGTTGAAAGAGGTTTTTGGCTCAACTTTCCTTTACTGTTTCCGCATGTGTGGTATATTAAAAAAAGTAAAATCATGATAAATAGTTCATTAGATGCATTTTGGAAGATTAAAGAAACTTTTAAATGTACCTATATTTTAAAAGAATCACATTATTCTGCTTTTTTTTCTAACAAGCAAAGATTCATGACATCAGTCAGAAGCCAATCACAATTTCCATTTAGAAAAATGTAAATAGACTAGGATAACATAGTAATTTATAAATCTAATCCAAAAATATCCTTCTTTATATTTAAATATTCTAAATATTTTCTTGAATTTCTAAATATTTTCTTTATAAAAGAGGAAAATCAAATTTTTAATACATGTGCATAGGGAACTCATATAAGCATGAAAATTCTCTTAATATTTTCTTGAATGCTTATATTTAACTTTTTCTAAATCTTTTAATCTAATAATGTGATTAAAGAATAAGAGATGGGCAAATGTATTTCAACATGAATATTGTTCATCATGAAGCCAAGCCCTCATGTGACTTTCACAGACAAGTTACCATTTAATTAGGACTTGCAAATACCTCCTTCTACTTCTTTCCACTTAAAAAAGCAGGAAGATGGCATGATTAACTAAAAAGATCTGAGACTAAAAGTGACTGATAATAGGTTGTGTATTGAAATGAACCAAATAAGTACTGAATTCTGTTTCTTCTTAGAGCAGGAGTTAGAAAACTATAGGCAACAGGCCAAATTCAGTCCGCCATGTATTTTCGTGCACCTCACGAGCTAAGAATGGCTTTTATATTTTTAAATAGTTGAAAAAAGTCAAAATAATATTTCATAACATGAAAATTATATGAAATTCAAATTCGCATCCATAAATAAAGTTTCATTGGAACATAGCCACATTCATTTGATCACATACTGCATATGGCTGATTTTGCACTACAGTGGCAGAGTTAAGTAGCCACACAGAAATTGTATGTGGCTTTCATTTCTTTGCACTGTGGCTTGTCACACTACAAATCAGTGACACAGTCATAATTCAACAGCATTTTGAGTGCCATGTATATCACTGTACAGTGACTTTTTTTAAATTACCGGTATATATATCCAACATGTCAAAGCCAAGAGGAGAAGAGTGGACTTCAAATGGTGCAGTTTTAAGGCACAATAGAGCACGAATCATTTTTTAAATCCATCAAACGGCAAAGCATTGTGTTTCTTATGCAATGACACTGTAGCTATGCTAAAGAAAAACAACATATTTGCACATTATCAGACTGAGGATTCATCACAGTATTCTCAACTTGTAGGAAAGCAATGGTCAGAAAAATGAGAAAATTTAAAATGAAATAGATCATAGCAGAATTTCTTCCCAGAAATAAAAAATGAAAATGATATTACAACCAAAATAAGTTTCCAAGAGGTTTATTTACTAGCCAAGCAAGGAAATCTGTTTATCAATAGTGCATTAATTAAACCATGTATGATCACAGCAGTTGAAGAAATTAAACTTGTTTAAAGACTATTCCTTCAGCAAGAACAACTTCTTGAAGAGCTGACAACATTGGAAGAAACATCAATAGTCAATTAAAAAATAAGACAAATCATTTATAGTTGTTTTCCTTGGCTTTTGATGAGTCAACGTAAGTTACTGATACTGTCTAGATATTTTTGTTTATTCAGGGCACCAATACCAAGTTTGAAGTGACTGAATAACTAATACCTTTGAAGAGTCTGCATTAAACTGCAGTGAAGAAAATTGTCAAAGAAGTTGCTAAAATACTACTTCAATACAACTTGAAGTGAAATCTGCTACAATTGATGGAATAAAAGTAAAAAAAAAAAATTTAGTTGAACAAATTTACAAAGCTAATAAAAATGTAAGGTGTTTAAAATCTATGGTTACTCATCAGCAGGTATTCTGCCACAAATATTTGAATCTATCATGTATTATTACTGAACCAGTAGTGTCAATGGTAGTAGTTTTGTGATTTTTCTTTTAGCTCATGGCTGGCACTGAATATTTCTGAATGAAAAGAACCATCCTCAACTGCTAGTATCAAACAATGAATGTCTTTAGAGATTTGCTTTTTCTGTGGACTTGAGAATGTTTCTTAATAAATTCAACCTAAAATTAGAAAGTTAAACAGTATGCATATGAGAAACATATACTGCAGTAATGTCATTTTGAGAACTAGCATTACGGTGAATCACATGTAATGTCATGCTTTCAAAAGTTAAAAACTTAAGTGAGATCTCCATTACCACACAAGTTTAGAGCAGACATGTTTTCTGAACTCAAAGTATACTACCAGCAGCATTTTCATACTTCATTGCAAGTTAATGAAAATTTCAATATTTCAAAATCTCTTTAAATGTGGAATTCAGGAGTTCTATTTTCAATTGGAAGTATTTAATCTACAATGTAATGACATGCTAAAGGTAAATAGCAAGAGAAGACAGTACTAGAATTCTATAAATGCATTTCAAGTGATGAATATGCTCAATTAAAATCATATGCTCATGAACTCATCAATATTTGGTAGTTACCTATCTGTGTGAAAAATAATTTTCAAAGATAAAATACATAAAATCTCATTACAGATCAATATTAACAGATGAATGTCTACAACTAATTTTATAATCGGATAAGCAACACTAGCTTTCTAACCCAATTAAGTAAAACGTCACCCTCACAGAAAGAATTATATTCTTATTAGTAGACCTAAACCACACACACACATAAAAGTACTCAATTATTATTCTTATATTTTGAATTCTGTCAGTAAAAATCTTATGGAAAATTTTTTCTCTTGTTATATAAGTACCTACACTTCATTTTACCTCTTAGCCTGAATATCCTAAAATAATTAGTCTCTGGCCCTTTACAAAAAAGTTTGCTGTCCTCTGTTGTAGAACAGGAAAGATAAATGTCCTCCAAGGTATGATTCAGAAAGTTTTCTGCTTCCCTTTCTCATCCACTCTATCTCATCTAATTTTGGCAGGTGAATAAAAAGAAAATTATAAAAAATAATAATTACCTTGAGAAGAACATTAATACGATTTTAACTGAAATCCACAGCAACACTTGGGCTAGGTCTTAAACACAACAGAAGTTGGCTGAGGAAAAACTGGAGTAAAAGGAGGAAATGATATTTCTAGCAAAGAGAAATAGAGGTGCAAAAACATGGCATAATGAGAGACCTGAAAAATTAATGCTGACAGGTGATAAAGGGCCTTATGAGCTAAGCTAAGGAGTTTAGATTCTCTCCTTTAGGAAAGGAGAGCAAAAAGAAGATAGTCTTAAGGAAAGAAAACCCAAAACAACAGTGAACTAGCATAGAGAGACTGGTATAAAGCAATTCTTTACATGGTCCAAGTGTGAGACACTGGATTAAGGCTGCTGCTCTCACTGCTCCCTCTTCTTGACTTCTAGCCCATGTGTTTATGTCAAGTTTGTAGTGCTAACACAGATCTAGACACATTACAGTCAACAGTCAACACCCATCTGTCGCAGTCTGCTCTCTGTGGCCACAAAGAATAAGTCTAATCTTTCTTCCAAATATCACTCTGTGGTGGGCAGAACCCTAAAGGAATCTCTATGAGTCCCAATCCCTGTTACTCACAGTCTATATGCTCTCCTACCCAAGTATGAGCATAACCTATGATTTGCTTCTAGCCAACAGAATAGAGCAAAAGTAAAAGAATTTTTTGCAGATGTAATTTGAGCCCTAAATCAGTTGACTCTGAGTTAATACAAAAAGAGCTGTGGGCAGCTTCTAGACAATATAGCCAGCAAAACACCAGGGCATTCAGTCATATAACCACCAGGAAATGAATCATGCCAACACTGTAAATGAGCCTGAAAGTTCATTCTCTTCCCCAACCAAGCCTCCAGATAAGAGTATACCTTTGCCAACATTATGACTGCAGCTTGTAAGACCCTGAGCAGAGCACCCAGCTAAAGTTATCTTTTCTACGAATGGTTCTGCCATTAGCTTTTTATTTTGTGGGATTAAATTTAGTTACCTGTAATAGCTTTCCTTCCTTTGTCTGCTAGGCAAACTCCTACTCCTTTTATGGTTGCTTCTTCTCAGAGGTTGTCCCTAACTCCCCACCTTTCAGGCAAAATAAAAGCCCTCTCATTTGGTTTTCCAGAGATGTTGATATCTTTTTATAACAACTGCCAACAGTATGTTACAGATACTATTTATAGCAGATTGCATGCTCAATGAGAGAGGAATAATCATCTTTGTAGACCAATGCTTAGTGTAGAGACTGGCTACAAAAGTTCAGTAAATATTTAGTAACTTAATTGAAAGGCAAAAAGAATCATAGTAAGACAGTGCACAGAAACTTACAGGTTTCCTTGTCCAATTCCCTAATTGTTGCCTAGCTGAGTACCTTTAGGTTGTTTTCTTCTGACTTTATAAGTAATATATGTAATATAACAACTTCTATCCCTTTTATAGAGTATGAAAACAAGACCAGATTTGTCCACTTTTAAGCAGCTGAGTTAAATTATTTAAAAAGATAGCAACTTAAGTTTAATCCTTTCTATTATAGCAATGTTGTATAACACACTATTATATATTATAACAAGACTTAATAACCTAGTAGGCAACTTAGAGTTTCATAAAGTTACAGAAATAAAACTTTTGTATGAAAAAATCCTATTCCATAAAGAAATTTCAGAAATTACTCTCTAAGTATTCATCATTCAAAGGACAATTTCAGAATTACATACCTGGGGCTGGGGGGGAAGGGTGGGAGAAAATGCATGAAATTTAGTCAGTGTTGTGAATAAGATTATTTGGCAATACAAGGCAAACAGAAAGGTATATGGAATGTATCATAGGATGTTTTCTTTTTCTAAGTGAGACATGCAAATGAAAACCTATTTACCTTAAAGATTCAGATAATGGTGTTAAAGTGCCATCTCCCCTATCTACTACACGAAAGAAATTCAATTGATCTCCTTCTCGGTATACCAAAAATGTAACTTGTTTGTTGTAGGAGGTCTTCTCCCAGACCTCATCTCGACTGGAATCCATGTACTCAGCCATCTCCCTAAGTGGATCTTCCATAGGAACTATAAATGGAAAAATTAATAAACAAGCTTTCAATTTATATCAAGTTTTACGCATCTTGGTACAGTGACAGGACATAATGTGCTGAATCTGAACAACAACCCTGTATATATATATATATATCATATATATATATATGTTTTAAGTAGACCCATCTTGGGTTTACCAGATAATTCTTTAGAAGTTTTAAATTAAAGAAATAAGTTTCAAATAAGTTTCTGGTCTTTTACTGATAATTGTTTTTACTTGATAACTTCTGCTTCCTATGTTTTCCAATATTGGTTCCAACAATCAATAATTAAAATCACTATAAATTCCACTTCTTTTGATTAAAATAATATAACACACACATAATTGGGAGACATATGTTAGAAATGAGAAGCAAGTGAATCCCTCTTTTTCTTTATGGTTTTATACAGAAGCTGATTCTTCTTAGACGTGTTTCTTGATATACAGTTAGGTAATTAAAAGTACACAATAATTCAGAACACAAGGGGACCACTTAGGTACTAAAACTGCAATGTGTGTAATGGTCAGAATGTTGTTTCTTGAAAGCATCTATTCAGACCCCAACTATCCTAGTATGTATCCAGGTAAGCAGTCAGAGCACAAGGACCAGAGCAAAGCTCCTACTCCTGGCAGGCTCTAGAATTCCAAAGTTGTCCTCAGGTTTGAATGATATTGCAGTCATCATTACAACCTGATCTTGTGGTACGACTGGGCTTAAAAAGATTGCTGGCTCCTACGGTGAATGTTCTAATAGCCCTTGAGACCCAGACTTGGGTGTCTAGGTAGTGGTCTGAGAGTAAAAAAAAGTTCACCGTTAAAGACATTCTAATGTCAAGCAGAAGAAAACATCTGCTCTTTCTTTAAAGAGGCAACAATTTCTCAAACTGCATAACTCTAATTCTAGTAGCTTATTTATTAAAAGAATCATAGTGCTGTACTACCTTTTTAAAAAGTTGCAGCAATAAGAAATACTAAACTCTGAAAATGACAAGGTAAAACCATTAAAGATGTTCCCATATCTTAAATTCAATACCACCACTACTAAAATGCAAAACTTAAGAAATATAATAAGATTTAGCTTATAAAAACATTTGGATGTTTTAATTAACTCATAGGCACAAAATGTATAAATATTAAAAGACATTTTCAAAACAAGTTCTTGCCATTTTTAAGTTAATAACAAACTTTCCATGTTACATTAATAAGAAATCAAAAACTATGTTACTATGTCCATTACTAAAGCCACATGAAAGCCTTGCTTAAACCAACGCAGTGTGCCTTACTTATGGAGGCACTGAGACTGAATATGTGTGTATGCACATATGTGTACGTATGTGTACAGTTTTTCGTAACAAAAATCATTTAGATTTCACCAGGTATAAACCATTATATATATACTTTAGGAAAAAATTTAGTTTTACAAAGTAAAATATTTTCTATGCTGTTTTTATAATGATTAATTCAAAAACAATTTTAAAAGCTAAACATTATTGGAACTCAGATGATAAAGGTACTTTCTAAACTGTAATTTTCAAGCAAGACTAAATATGGTCTAACTAAAGACTAAATTAAAAAAATATGGTTTCTCAAATACTATGGAGAAGTTTTAGATGGGTATAGTTTTTTTTTTTTCCACAAAGTTTTCAATGATGTAAGGTAGATGACAGCAAGCTTTTAATTTTAAAAAATGTGGATACAATAAAGGCAGAATTATTAAAAACTGAATTTAAAATATCAAAACACCAGACAAGTTCTAGGTAGTGATTTTTCAATTTATAAACAAGACGCAGAAAATGTAAGAGAAAAAAACGTATTACAAAGCTTCAACTACCAGAGGGCAGTGATGCCTTTCATTTTCATTTTTTTAAAAAAGTGTAAAAAATACATACACTTTTAACTCAGAATCCATAGCACTTACATTCCTCCTCATAAACATATAATAATTTTAGTCCTAGTAAGAAAAGTAGGTGTTCTGATTAAACCTTCTGGTTTAAAGACAACACTATATACAAATAACCAACTTTCAAAAATATAATACAATGGAGTTAATATGTCATTAAACACTATATAATTCTATCTTACCATAATGTATCAGTAAATGCTTTAGGGTTCTTGCATTACTCTCAGAATCAGTACCGTAAACATCACCTTAGGTCACATAGGACAACTTCATAAGTTCAATTAATAGAAAGTTTCTGACAGCAAAACCGCTAATTTATCAACTCTAATATTACTATCTTCGTTTTATTAACCTATCCAAAAACAGTTCAACAGCCACATATGTCACAAAATCCTCTTGAAGTAGTTAGGAAAAAGATGGTAATAACCTTATTTTCTAACCAAAATTATAAAGCATAGAGATAAAATTTGATTTATGGAAGAAATAAGCCCACAGTGGAATCAACACTTAACCTTCAATTTTCTGGTTAGAGAATGAGCAAACAAAAATAAAGGCCTTGCCCAAAATGAGGCCCACAAAAGCAGGACTGCTCTGAGCAGTCTAAGGGATGCCTCTATTTGGTGGAGATTCATGTGACATACTTGAATCAGGGATCAATGTGAACACTCCCAGTTCTTTGTAGGTTTAGAACTTTCTTGTTAATCAAGTCTCTGCTCACATCATCTTCTCTGAGGACCCTTCCACAATCGTCTTCCTACTGCCCCGCTTCCACATGCTCCATCACACTACCCTATTTCTTCCATAGCACTTACAACTGCTTAAAATGACATCGACCTTTACATGTTTATTGTAGGCACTGTTATGGAGTAGGGATGTTTTTCTTCCATGGAACACTGCACTGAACATCTAGTAGACGCTCAAAATGTATTTGTTGAATGAATGGACTCCCAGAGGTTGCCCACATTCTGAAAAAGGATTCAACAAGGCCATGATAATATCCATGAAACCCAAATGCATCGTAAACTAGGCTAACAGGCATCTTTGAAATTTTATGTAACAATCATTACCTTAGGAGTTGAAGACTCAGTGGAATAAAAAAGCAACAAGATGGAAACATACCTAAACATAATAATTACTACATATTTATACTATGCCATCCCATTTCTCTCCTCTATACTGGTGAGATTTATTTTTAAATCTCTGTGGATTTAATCAGGAATCATGAGATTTTTCTGGAATATGTGTTCCTTCTTCTGTGCATTTAGGCTTTAAAGAATAATACCTAGAGAAACAAATGTGGTTCTTCTAAGACCTAATAGCCGAAAGAGAACCTGACTACAAAATATATAAAAATACCAACTGACTTGAAGATTATTATTGTCAAATTGCTTTAACATACATAATTTTAACATATGCCTACCTCTTCTAGTATTTATAGGTCCGCCACGCATAGCCAATACCAGCTTCAAGGTACAACCTTCTGAAATGCTGTAGATAATTAACACAAACATAAATTACAATTATCAAAATGCATTCAGTGTTAAATATATACATAATTATGTGCTGCCTAATTAGGCTTAGTGCCTATCCTCTAACATTTAAAAAGAGATATATCAATATACATAAATATAAAAGGTTAACTTATTTACTTGTACAAATAAAAAAAAAGTGAAGAGTTCTCATAAGCCTTAAACATGACAGGAAATCTCAGAATAAAAGTACTGGAAAGGACCTCGATGATTATGTGGTTTAGCCTCTTCATTTCACATGTAAGGAAAAAGAGGCCCTAAGATGAAAAGAAAATAGCAGATATATTAAACAAAATAGAAAAGAGGAAAACAGCAAATCTACAATGTCTCCAAGCACTCTTCCAGCTATTCCACATCACCTCTGTTCTTCTCTTAAGAGTGAAGAATTATATGAGAAGGGAGAAAGAAAAACAGAAAATATATCTGCCATCAGTGGCGCACTCAGTGTCAGTAACGGAAGGAGGACTTAATGAAAAATGAAAGACTTGATGAAGAGCAATACTCTCTTATCTCCAATACTTGTGAAAATGATGTAGCCAGATGGGAATGGGTCAGTATTTGAAGCAAGGGGCAAAGAAGGCAAGATCAGAAGAGGAAGATCTGAAATGGCAGGAGACAAATAGTTTGGCATGAATAATAAAAAGGTAAAACAAAGAATAAGAGGACAACGATCAAGTAGTACGGGGTAATGAACCAACATATAAATTTTGGGGTTTATACTGAAATCTAGGGATCAGAACTTTTACAAGAAAAGAGACATGATCCAAAGATTCAGAAGAAAAACACTGGTAGTATTACTGAGCATCTATAAAACAGCTAATATGTAATTACACTCACTTGTAATCATTCAAGCAATAATCATCTTCAAGTTCCATGTTATTCCAAATTAAGTGCTGCTGACAGACGGGAATACCTTTGGGAAAGGTTATAAAAATGGTTAAAATTCAACAGAATCTTGTAAAGAGTGTAAAGATGATACACAGCTATTTAATTAAAAGACTAATAATAATAAACACACTTCAAATCATAGGTAAAAGACGTAGCTAAAAGTTGATATAGTCTAATCTGCTTTTAGAAAAAACATGTTTCAGTAACTCTCTGGCCTTGAAACAAAGTAGTATGATATTAGGGAGCCCTTTAAAAGACAAAGTATTATGAATCAGCCCTGAAGAGTTTAAGATTTAAGGCCTAGAAGATAGTTTTAAATGCTGTAAAGTACAATCTTCATTCAGTTATATTCAGTGTTAAAAGAACATATGAGTGAGGATAGGCGAAATGGATAAAGGGGGTTAAAAATGTACAAACTTCCAGCTATAAAATAAATAAGTCATGGAGATATAATGTACAACATGGAAACTGTAATTAATAACCCTATGTTGTATATCTGAAAATTGCTAAAAGAGTTCTTAAAAGTTTTTGTCACAAGAAAAAAACAACATAACTGTATGCTGAGAGATATTAACTAGACTTATTATGGAGATCACTTTGTAATACATGAGAATATCAAATAATCATATTGTACACCTGAAACTAATATATCAATTATATTTTAAAAAATGGAACATTTAGTTTACTGTCCTTAGGGGTCTGTATTCTAAAATACAGAGTAACATGTCCACATGAAATAATGATTGTTTATATGTGAGTTTATTTAGTGATATGGATGACATCTTTTATATTTTATATTTCTTGTGAATGGAAAGGTTAATAACCTTGAGAACAGGTAGAAAATGTAATTCCCAATAAAAATATTAATATATTAGAAAATTCCTTCCATTTCAGTGTTTGTATTTGATTATAGTTCATTATTGTATATTAACATGTATTTTTGTAGTGCCCAAACATGAATTGCAGAATACTTCAATCTTAGGGGGGAAAAGTATATTATGAACAAATTTCAATGCTGAAAATTATAGTCTACAGGACAGTTTCCTTACATTTCTGTGATGCTAAAAGAACATTAAGGCAGATCCCACAGTTAATCTTTTTTTTTTCTGGCAAACTATACATTTGGATGCCCAAAGAATATTTGGACTATATTACCTGGAGAGTGAGCATCATCCAAACAACAGAACATTTAATGGACACTGATATTGATGAAAACCTTTTTTAAATATCTCACATACTGCCTTCTCTAATTACTCTAGCTATAAAACAAGTTGACTAGAAGAGTAATAGTGCTATATGTGCTAGTGTTTATTATTATAAGCTTGTGTATACACTCACACTCATTTATCAGTTATCACAGTTTCGTTTATCGTAGTGAAAAACTGGATAGGTGAAAATATCTCTTAATTGAAGACTAAGTAAATAAATGATGACAGAAATATATATTAAAGTACCATCCAGTCATTAAACACACAAATATAAGTTTTAAAAGGAAATATACCCAAAATATTAAGAATAGATTCTTCAGTTCTAGAGACTGGGATGTCCAGGATCAAGGTTCCAGAAAAGCAGGTTTTATTCTAAGGCCTCTTCTGTTGGTTTATAGGCAGCTAACATTTCCTGTGTACTTACATGACTTGTTCTTTACAAATGGAGAGAGAAGGGGAGCTTTCTGGCATCTCTTCTTAAAAAGAACACTAATCTCATCAATCCCAACCCTCATGACCTCACCTAATCCTAATAAATGACTCACGCATGTTTCTTTTGTCTTTTAAAGAATTTTCCCACAGATATATGTATGTTTTAGAACATGTTCATATCTGCATTTAGAAATAAACCAGAATCAATACGACTGACAGATAATTAAAGACAGCTCCCATCTCCTAATATTTCCTCCCAAAACCATACATAACAAGAAGAAGGGAAATGATACACAGAAATCAGGCAGGCCCTCCTAACTTGAAGCCGGAGAATAAAAATTCAAAATAACTCAGAATAAAAAGGGGCAATCACCTATTCCCAGTACAGGAAGCCTCATACTCTCATCCCTGTAGAGCTAACTGAGAAAAATTTTGAAGACAGAGAGGGAAGCTAATGCTGGTATATAAACTCGATATAAAACCATCACAAAGAAAAAGGCCATTCTAAGTCTAAAAATTCTACAAAAAGCACTCAAGTCGATTAGAGCACTGACTAAAAGGAAGGGACTTTAAAGCCAAACAATTTGAAGGAGCTTCTGTGGGAGGCAAAAACCAAGAGGAAGAGTACTTTTTAGCAATTCAGTAGTCAAGGGGAAAAAGAGCAAGGGGTGAAAACTTAAGAGTCCTGCAAGAAAAAAGAGAATCACAAAATTGGGGACTCACAGCTCCCCCCACACCACAAAACAAATATAAAACAGGTAAAATATCTGAACAATGATATACTGACTGAGAGCGCACCATAAAACAGAATCTGTAAACCACCCCTATACCACAAAAATCATCAAGAGAAAAATTAACAAATCCATATAGAGTTAATAGTAAAAACCAGAAAACAAAATTCCACACCTGTCAACCAAGGTAAAATTTTACTCAGAAAAATAATGATGAAGCAGAAGAAAACTGTAATGCCAAACTGCAAACTTGCTCAAGATTTGAAGATAAGAAAAAAATGTTTTGAACCAGAAATTCAAAAATTAAGAAAAGAAAATGTCCAAGACCACCCCCCACATAGCAACAAAACAGGAACAAATTAAAAAGAAAGCTGACTAAACTCAGAAAAGGAATGAAGGAAAAAGACAAAATTACCTCAAAAATGAGGAATAAATTACAAGCTATCAATACATAATAGACTCAAATACATATTTAGTAAAGGATAAGGCAGGAAAGCAATGAAGAAAATGAAAATGACATGAGGAAAAGTAAAAAATGGGTCCAAGAGAATGTACTAAAAATGAAAGGCTAAGAAGGAATATTATTCATGTTATTAAAAGTCCTTGAAAAAGAAAATCTAAACAGTGAAACAGAACTAATGTTTAAAACTATAATCCTGGGAGGAAAAAAAAGGTGTAGATAGAGGCTCTGTTCATCCCTCTGGCGACCAAATCAAAGTTGTGAGGGAAACAAGGAGCAGCAACAAGGAAAACTCGCCTGGGATCTAGATGAACAAGCCATACAACCGGGGAGACGTCCAAGAAATCACCCTGCAACAGTAGAAGGTAGGAAGGGGAGAAGACACAGGGCTGCCTGGTCGAGCGGCTGAGACAGAGGCTGCAGCGGCAGCAGCAGCGGTAGAAGCTCTTAAAGGGACCGCGTCCATTAGCGGATTTTCGCAGTGACGGACCTGCTCACTCTGAGCACCAGTGCCGATTAGGCTGCGCGCAAGGGGCACCAGGGACTTATAAGGAGACATTGTCTGAGTGAGGGCTGAGGCGAGATAAGCTGAGACTCACTCTGTACAGAAGTGGCCACAGTACCCACTGTTCTTTGTTGAGCCCTCCCCACTACCAGTGCACCAGACACAATGCTGCCATAGCCATGACATCAAACTGAATAACAGAAGTCGCTCCGTCCACAGGATTTCCTGAAATCCCACCTCCCCCAACTTGAGGCCCCACCCAAGCCACATCCAGGTGTATCTTCGGCGAGTCAGGTACTCCTTGCTGAGCATCACCTAGCCACACACACTGGAGACAGCTGGCCTCGGTTTCTGGTGTGGCCTTTTGAGGCAACAATAAGCACAACATCTGTGGATTGCTTGCTGAATCTTAACAGGTGGTCCCAGAGGGACTGAGGCTTGGGCTAAATTTGGCCTGCAGCTGAACCCCTCTCAGGACTGTGCCACTGGACACCTACTTCACAAATCCACACTAATGAGAACAGGAGATTTGGGAGCTTTGCTTAATACACAGAAACAGACATGGAAAGACAGCCAAAATGGGAAGACAAAGAAGCAGAAACCATATACGAGAGAACGGAACAGACATCCAGATATAATGGAGTTAAGTAATCTAACGGATGCAGAGTTCAAAACACTAATTATAAAGATGCTCCATGAACTTTTGGGAAGTGTAGATAAATTCAATGAGAACTTCAACAAAGAGATAAAAACATAAAAATGGAAATGTAAATTATAAAAGGGAATCAGTCTG